GTTGTAACCAGGTCAGATTCTGTTTTAGTCCATCATTCCTGTTCAGACAATTTGGATTCCACTTGATATGAAGTGCTTCTGATATTAGACGTTCTTTGTGAAACGTCAGTAAAAGCAATACCGTTTTGTATTTCATTCATTGGGAAATACAAAAACCTTTATTATAATCATGCATTATACGGTTCAGTTACACATCACTTTCATAAGCAATTAGTCATCGGAGAAAGAACTTGAACACATCAATATTTGCAAACTGAATAGCATTGATGATAATAGCAATGGTGGTAATAATGAAATTGAAACGGTTTAAGATAATGGTACTGATTAAGGACAGTTTTTTTTAAAAATGAATCAGGAATTATAATAATAGGTCGAATAAAATAATGAATAAAAAGATTAATAATAATAGTAGTAGTAATAACAGTTAATAAGTATGACATATTACCATGGTAGATTCACAGTGACCACCATTCCCTTCTGTACACAGGGATTGGCTTTATAAACTCTAATTGGACAAGCCTCCACAATTGCAAGCATCCTTCTGTTTGTTTGTCTGTTGACAACAGTGAATTACTTGACAGCGTCTATATCATGGCCACCATCGTCTATAAGATGTACTGTTACTGTACTGTTGGATATTGTTACTTTGACTTCAGTTTTTTTCAGCTACTTAGGCAAGTTCTCCATTATGCAGGTAGATAGTTGCCTTTCCGTTTGACTTATATGTTTGCTTCCACAAACACACTCAGATTGATGTACGTAGTTTGAAGTGTCTAGGATTGGCGACCGATTTTTCCAAGATTGTTGAAGTACACTGGCTTGGTGATGTTAAGGAAGACGAGGTTTGCAGCATAATAAGTTGTCCTGATAGCTTTATCACATCTTTGTTAAACTACTTGCAAAGTGACAGCTTTTTGAATAACGGAAGAACAACGGTTTTTGCAGAATAAAATGGTACCATCATTGTTTATTTCGTTGGCTCCTCATCAGCTGCTTACAAGCCAAAGACATTATTAAGTATATGTACAGAAACATACTTGCAGAGAGTTCGCCGAAATTGTGAACCACATGAACGTTTCAAATAAGTTCATGGCGTCATTTAATGCTGCAACCTCCTTGTTCACAAGGATTCCAATCAATGGAACTATCGAGATCATTTGTCAGCACTTTGATCTTCTCTCACTCCCAGAGTCGGAATTCAAATGCCTACTGCTAATGTGTACCATGGATGTGCAATTCCAGTTCGACAACACTCTTTACCGACGAATAGATGGTGTAGCTATGGGCAGTCCACTTGGCCCTATTTTAGCAGAAATCTTCATGTGAAACGTTGAGAAAAAAAAGTTGAAGCATGCAATCTACGAAACAACTTCCGATTGCAGATATTTCGATGACAAATTTGTAGTGTGCAACAATGGAAGTCATGGTTCCTACCTACTCATATTATTCAACGACGCACATACAAGTTTCGAATTTACTATAGATCATCAAAATGATGGAAAGTTCCATTTCCTTGACATTGCCATGCAACGCCTAGAAGATGGTAGTCTCCAGAAGTCTATTTACCGAAAGCCTACATGGAAAGGACAATGCCTGCATTTTAACAGTTTTGGTCTAAATGGCTTTAAAAGTGGACTAGTTAAGACTCTATACTATAGGGTGAGGAGAATATGCTCTATAGAGAAATTAGAGGAACAATTTATGTTTAACGAAAAGATGTTGAAAAGCAACGGTTGCCCTCGAAGGTTCATTAACAAGTACGGAAGATGTGAAGACTCAAACATCAAACAAATCACAGTGAGGAAATGCTCATCTTTATTCAACTAGATTTTAAAGGTGAAAATATTACAGTAATTGTCAACAGAAGATTGAGTACGTCACTAGGCAGACCCTATCCTGCGGTTAAGCTGGTTCCCATCTATTGAACAACCTGCTTTCTGGTGCAGTCGAAAATCGATAGATATCCTTATCAGTATCTGCGGAAGCAGTTACATTTGGAGAACAGAAAGAAGAGCATACCTTCGATTTTCTGAACATGTACCAAAAAGCTTGCGTCTAAAGGGAACAAATGCTTTCAGTAGTACCATCGCCAAGCATTTCCTTGATACTGCTCATGAGGTGGACGTCACAAGATCGTTCAAAATTATCAATAGGCAAAAGAATTCAATTCTCCTCAAGTTTGCCGAAGCAATCTCCATCAAACGCCTGAAACCCGATTTATGCTTTCAGAAAGAAACAGTTATCAGTCTTTCCTTGCCCATCCTGGTAACTGGATGTTTTCATCCTCTCTTTCACCTGATTATGTAATGCTGAAAGTTTCCATTGTGTGTGACCATTATTGTTCGGAATAAAGTGTTTACTATATATATTATTGTATGCATATATTGATTGATTTCTGTTTGAAAATGAAATCTCTGTGCAAGTATGTTAAAATTGTTTCTGTAGATATACTTAATAATGATTTTTCCCTGTAAGCAGCTGATGAAAAGCCAACGAAATAAACAATGATGTGGTACCATTTTATTCGGCAAAAAACCGCTGTTGTTCTTGCTCTACTCAAATTCATTAAAGGGAAATAAGTGTATAAATAATATACAGCTTTTTTGAAACTGTTTGGATAGTTTTACTAGGGTTTATTTCTTTGGAATATTTCCCTGGTCAACCTGTCAGGATATGCATTTTATAGTGTCATAAATCGTATAGCTAATATAATAATGGACATATAAGAGAAGTGAAATAATAGTGGTGACATCATGGGATAAATTATTTAATTGGATGAGTTGTCGCTAAGATAAAAAGAAAAATAGAAGTGTTAGAAAAAGTTGGTTGGAAGCAACAGCAAGTCATTAAATGGGTTAGTAGAAGTAATTGAAAACTTCGCTTTTGTGTGCAATGCTCTACTAGTTCCAATAATCCGAATTTCTAGAGCTTCAGCAATGCAAAGAGAGCTGGAATACCTGAGAAGGCACTATGGAGTCCCACAGTGTGAAGTGAAGTAGGTGGTAAGGTGAGTGATTACAGCACATATACTATGTATCCTCTGAGGTAACATCTCTTTTATTGTCTGTCTCCAATAATTGTTATTTCCGTTTTACTTTTAACTGATCCCTTTTTTTCTCTCTTTTTGTCGTTCTATGACACTGATTGATTTCTTTATTCAAGGCTGAACTAGTTCCTGAAGATCCAATTGTAATTGTAGCCGCCACTGATATAGACGCTTATTACACTGTTGCTGGCCCCAATGGCAGTTATGTTAATTTCATCCAATCAACTATTAAACAGCCTTTAGCTATAATGAAACAGAATTTGGACAAGAGTAATGCGAATAACAGTGTGGAGATTACGAAACATGCTAGTAGTGTTCTACCGGATGGTTGGCAGTTGGCTAAAGAAATTATACGCGAAACAGTATCGGTAAGAAATATATAAACTTATTATTTTTAATGTTTGTGCATGCAGAATATATACTGTTCAAAACTGATCACTGTCACTGAGTACTTTGTTTACAAAATTTTGGGTGGGGGAGTGTTGAACATGGCCCATCAATGTATCACTCTTGTTGTTATCATGCTGTCTAACTTAAAAACGACGTTGCCCTTCTCTTCTCGTTCCTGTTTAACTTCATCATAGATGTACTAATGGAATTAAGCCTAACTGACTTCAGCGACTCAGGGATTAACTTTTTACCAAGGAATAATCTCGTTGACTCAAAATAGGCGGATGATATAGTCCTCCTAGCTGAAGACGTTGACAGAATGTAGAGTCTTCTGAGCAACAATCTTCGAGTGTTTTGCATGCGATTCGCTTCTGTCAAATGTAAGATGATGAGGCTACAGGACTCAACTGGACTACATTCACTCCTAGCTTAGAAATAGGGAGTAAATTGGTAGAGCATGTTGACCGCTTCACTTATTTGGGAAGTTGCATCAGTCCCATTGAGTTAGTTGTTGACGGAGGGATACAGAAGGCTCGTATGGTATATGCCAACTTGACATGATATTCAGCTGGCTATTGATCAAAGGAAGTGTGTACTACTCAGTAGTGCGATCCGTCCTCCTTTATGGCTATGGGCGCAAAATGGCCATTGAAAGTGGAAGACATGAAAAGCCTGACTAGCTGTCTTTGACCATAGGTGTCTGCTTTCTATCTCCCGTGTTAGGTGACAGGCGTAAATAGGGTGAGTAATGCTGAGATTAGACATCGGTCGAGTGCTAGGTAGGTGAGAGGGGAAATCAATAGAAGAGGCTATGAAGTTACATTGATTGAGAAAGATGGTTAGGACATGTGTTACGCATGCCTAACCATCGCCTTTACCGACGACTGGCAATGTTAGCTGACACAGGATCAGGCTGGACAAGGGCTAGTGGTGGTCAAACGAAAACATGGCTTCACCAGTCAATGGAATCCACAGCAGTTAGTTTAAGCCAGCCAGTCACGTAAGGAGGTGTAGAGTGCCTGTTTGTGGTCTTCGGGATGCTGAAAATCAATAACTGTAGGCAATATGTGAGGCAGCATGGCCCAAATTTATTCTCATTGATGGCGCAGATGCATTCACTGTCTGTGATCTCCCATATCCAAGGAGAACTCTATTGTTCTTCCACGTTACTATTCTTCCTCCCTTACATTTCTGCTTATTATGATTCTTCATAATGTCTTTATTCCTCCTACGTCTTCCTCTATGTGGTACGTGGAGTAGGGCAACTCTAACCGCTGCACATATGTACAGAGTTCTATGTTGAAACCAGTCAGTGATAGTTTTTGATGTAGTGCATTAACATAACTAGACCAAGCACAACATGCCGTGTATGTTTCCATGACTCTACTCAACGGAGAAACTGTAGCTCACCGGTCTAGACTGCCGACTTCCAACCAGTGAGTTGCAGGTTCGAACTCTGCTCCACTCACCGAAGTCTGGGCAGACCCAGGTAGTTTAATTATAAGTGAGGTTCATTGCTAACCGTATGAAGTCGCAAGTGGTTTTTGAGCAACTCTGATTTGATTTCATTCAAATTTTCACTATGAAGTATATGCAGTTAATCTAAATATATGTGACCACCATTCAAATATGTTGTGGTTGCTATAAGAACAATACAAATTCTAAGCGTATTGTACCCCAAAGGAGGAGAGTAGAATCAATTCATACGATTTGAATTTTTATCGGAAACGTCTTACTAATGAGAAGTCAATGTTTGCTTCACAAAATTATTTCCGTTTGAAAAGTCTCTGATCCGTATATAAGTAGCACTGACTTCACATTGGAGTTGAAAATCCGGATCTTATTTTTGATATAAGTATAAAACTTGGGCACTGTGGTAGAGTATAATTCCATAATGGATAAGATTTTATTTTGATAAATCACACAGTGTAGTACAGTTATATTAACTGATGACGCTTCGAGTACAAACTATTGCTCATAATCATATCAACTTGATATGATTATGAGCAATAGTTTGTACTCGAAGCGTCATCAGTTAATATAACTGTACTACACTGTGTGATTTATCAAAATAAAATCTTATTTTTGATGCTGAGTGCTGTTGACCTCCACACAGACTTGAGAGTAGTGAAAGCTTGTCTTGCTTTTCCGATTCTTGCTTTGATATCCTCGTCAGTTCCGTCCGCCTGTAGTTCAAACAATGCTTCCCAGGTCGGTAGGTAAAAGAGGTTGTTTCTTTCAGGTTCCTTCCATTTGTGCTGATCGTTGTCTGTTGTTGTTGTTGTTGTTCTTGTCCAGGAATCTTCATCACCTCTGTTTTCACTATGTTCACCTGAAGTCCTATCTTTGATGCTTCTTCTGTCGTCAATTTGTTGCTTTTCGCTTGTATATCTTCCTGTTTGTGGGAAATCAGACATGTATCATCGGCGAAGTCCAGATGATATATATCTGCTGGAGAAAGAATCTTTACTTTGAAAAGCATAAGAATATAATGAACTACAAATGACTACAAAGAATGACTGCATCCACAGAATTAAGAATAGTTTTCATTCATATCACCGACACTCTTCACAGCCATTGATTCTCAGCAACTAATGAATCTCCAAGCACGTAGTCTGCATTTCCCTACGTGGTTCCGATCAGCAGCTTAAGTCTTCACGGACTAATGCCCGTATTTTGGTTTAGTCACCCATAACTCTTTTCCAGACTAAATCGTATGTTAGCTGACGTTGTTCGACGTGGAAGATGATTACTTTGCATACGTAATACATGTCCTAACAATCCCAGTCGATGTAACTTAACAACCGTATCGATTGTCTTCTATTCCTCGAATTGATTACCTCATTTACTCGGAACAGATTTTTCATATGACAATGGGATAATAATACTGTCTAATCACCCAGGTGGAAGTCGGTGAAGCGGGATTTCAACTTGTCACTGACTGAAAGTCGATCTTTCAAGCTAACTTAATCGATCCTTATGCTCAAACATTATACTATGTACTGTTTTTGTTTGATTAAGTGTGGATACATATGCATAGTTTAACTAAATCCTCTGCATGCACTACTAACTCTTGTCTTGTAGGAGTCCATTAATGTTAGCTTTCTTTCCAAGAGCATTATTTGTTATTTCATTAATGCGAAAGCCCATTAGTTGACTACCTTTTGAAAATACAAACATTGAACAAAGAAGCTCTTCGAACTCTTCGTACAAAGAAAGTGACATTGATGTTGGTTCTCTGTTCTGTTCTGTTTTCGACATACAACTTTGCACATATGTGCGGCAGTTCAAGTTGCCACACTCCATGTAGCACACAAAGCAAGAGAAGAAAGTAGCAGACATGCATATTAGAGGCAGTAGACAGAGATGTGAGACAAAGGAATAGTAATAACGAAGAACAAAACAGGTTAATTGGAAATCATAAGTCACAAGGAGTGGATGCATCTGCGCCACTGAGAATGATTTTGAGCCATGTCACCAATTGTTTCCAACCATTGGTTTTTACCGTCCCGAGGACCCCAACGTGGAAGTCAGTCTACACCTTCCTACTTAGCTGGCTTAGACTAACTGTTGTAGATTTCATTGACTGGTGCCATGTTTTGGTTTGACTGCCGCTAGCTCTTTTCCAACCTGGCTCTATATCAGCTAACAGCTTCGTCTATTGATTTCCCCTCCTTCCCTAGCATTCAACTGAGGCCTAACTTCAATATTGCTCACCTTATTATACCATTTCACACGGGAGAACACAGGCACCTATGATCGAAGACAGCTAATCTTTTCATGTCTTCCGCTATAAATGGCCAGGTCTCACAGCCATAAAGGAGGACGAAGCGGATTGATGATAATGATGTTGGTAGACATGTTGGTTCAAGTAAACAGTATTAAAATACTGACTGGTTTCAACGTAGAACTTTTCACCGATGTACATCAGTCGCCACACTTCACTTAGCACACAAAGCAACAGCAGAAAATAAAAAGAGATTCAAAACAGACATATGAGGCATAAAGAATAGTAATATCAAAGAACAATTTTCTGTAGTTGGTTTGTAACGATTAGTTTTGTTCTTACGAGTTGATCACGGATTGATATGAGTTAGAGAACCATTGAAAATCAGGGAGTACTGGACAGCTGTTCCCAAAGCTTGGATGAAACAGCTGTCCAGTACTCCCGGCTGGCTTTTAATAGTTCTCTAACTGTGATATCAATGCGTGATCAACTCGTAAAAACAAAGAACAATGTAGTTTCATTAGATATTGTAAGTCATAAGGAGTAGATTCATCTGCGTCAGCCATTTAGGACGATTTTGAGCCATATTTGCAATTGTCTCCAGTCGTCATTGGTTTTTACCTTCCCAAGGACCCTAACCATGAAGTCTGCATCTCCATACGTGGCCAGCTTAAACTAACTGTTGTGGATTTCATTGATTGATGAAGCCATGTTTTAGTTTGACCACCATTAACTCTTTTCCAACAACCTTATCCATTCTATGTCAGCTAACATTGCCCGTCGTGGAGGAAGCCGATCACTAAGTTAGGCATACGTAACACATGTCCTAACCATCTCAGTCAATGTACATACGGTTACGGTTAGTTCGGTTATAAAAATTGAGTTACCCAGGAAAATCTTTGAGCCACACTTATTATTTGAAGACTGCAGATATTACCTACTTTACCAGAGTTGAAGTAGGTCGAGACTAACCGCCTGAAAGTCAAGTGATAACACTGTTGTTTACGGACAGCTCATGTGTTTTACAGAGGTAAACATATAAAATCATTTGCATAAACAATGTAGATAATGGAAAGTCAACCAGCAATTACCACTACTTTCAGATGATGAAATATAACAAATTTGTTTGCAAAAACAAATACAGAAGCATCATCAATTTGAAATTACTCAAAAAAACAACAACACACAGTCATATACTGCATATGAAATATGAGTAAATAACATTTATCTCCTTTTCCCCGAGTTGGGCGTATTTCGTCACCATGGTTACAGCTAAACAGAAGTTTGTTATTGTCAACAATAGACGATGTTTTTAAATTTCGAGTTTTTGATATATTGATCAGTTTTATGTACTCAACTTTCAGTTGAGAGGAATGATACAATTAGCATTAAATGACTACTGTAGTAGCATAAGCTACTTATAAGTAGTAGTATGCTTAACACAATATATTAAGGAATACTATAGAATTATAACACTGTCCAGAAATAGTTAATATTCTGGTTTTTGTTTATTGGAGTTTATATCTAGTAGATGTGAATTCTGAGAAGACTCGTATCTCAGATGGATGTTTCCTGTAGGTGTTGTTGTGCTGGAGCTTTCATTAACCCTCTTGGACAACTAAGTCTTTCAGCGATAACTTTACTGCGAAGTTAAGGGGAACAAATATTTCATTCATTTCAATATTACTTGATAACATTGCTTATAGGTTAACTGACTTTAGCCAATAAGTCTTGAATTCGTGTCCCACTCCAACTATTTCTGTCTGACGACGATGGGATAATGTTAGCCGGCATAGCACATTAAGCGTATAATATTGCCAAGATTTGGTTTGTAAGGATTACGTGTTTGACCACGGATTGTCATCACTTAGAGAACCACTGAAAACCAGGGAGTACTAGACAAGTGTTTCATCCTAGTTTGGGAATCATCAGCAGTACGCACCCACTGTCAGGGTTCGTACCCACGACCTTCCGGTTACAAGGCAAGCTAGCTCGTATACCATTCAGCCACTGGGACCCGATTTCTCAATGGCCAGTGCATGAATTCTAACTTCTACCATTTCGTGATTTAGCGCGACTGGCACCAACCCATGTCATCAGTGGGACATGCATCCTCACACTTGACTGGTTGGACCTCACTGGTCACGACTTCTCAATAGAACTCCAGGAAACTCAGTCCTGTAGCAAGTCACTAGCGAGAATCAGATATAATATTGTGTTTTCAATTAGATCTCATCAGGCTTAACTCTAATATACACAACTGTACAAATAAAAATTCAAGTATAAACCAATCTTGGTGTTTTGTCTATAGGATAATAAGATTGTGCATATAAATTGTGCAATTAGTCACAGTGATAGTAAAAATAATAATAATGGTTCTATCAATAATAAGGATGAAATAGTGAGGCGATCTTTGATAACAAGAATAACGAATAACAGCATGATCAAACAAACAAATGTGTTCAGGTAGAAGTAGTGGTCGATAAATGCTAAAAAAGAACCGATTACGTAATGTTGGATTGTAAGGGAAGTAAACAAAATACGTTTTAATGAAGATGTGATAAGATTAAGGGATGATGACAAGAGAGGGGTTGAAAATATAAACAAGGGGTGATGTAGAAGTCATTAGAGTTAGTTATGTCTTAACAGGCCAACAAGGAAGGGATAATGGCTGTACGAACGTCTTTTGAATGCATAATTTAAGTTTAATAGTTCGAATGCCTACCACCTCAGCTGTGTGCAGTAGACGAATACGGAGCCTATTGGAAAGATTCGGTGACATGCGATGAATTACCCTGAAAGTTCATGAAAAATCTGAAAAGCTCACTTCATTGAATTGAAGTATACGCTGAAGTTGTTGTCTATTAGAGGGGGCAATGAAAGCTTCTCATGGAAACCATCCAGCTAGCTCAGGGAATACAACTACATCAAAATCCTGGAAAATGCTATGAAAGCCAGATCTATCCAGTTTTAATTCATTTTTATTTATTGCTTTATCAATATTGTTTATCTTCTACAATTGATGTTTCATTTCTCATGATTTTCTTTTCACGTTTTTTTTTTTTTAATGAAATTTAGATTCCACCTGATAATATCGATCTTATCCTGTTTTCAAGAAAGCAGTGTAACACCAACGACATCAATAGTACATTGAATGCCACTGTCGAACCGTTACATGTTACTGTTGCCTTTAGTCATAATGACAGTGGTTCAAAGAATATTAAAGTTCAATTGAGAGATTCAAATAATCATTGGTTTGTACAAAATACTGACGATTTATTAAGAAAGGTAATTCATTAATTAATTATATTAAAATTGCATATTTATGTTACATGTTGTACATGTTTGCTCGCGTTTCTGTGTTTATTATCTCTTTTCAATCTCTCTCTTTACTCCCTTCTCTTGCTTTATCTGTTACCAGAAGAGAGTGTGGCAACTAGAACTGCTGCACATCTGTGCAAAGTTCTACGTTGAAACCAGTCAGTCAGTTTCGCTGTCTGTCATCATATATTATCTTTTTGTCTTCTTGTATATATCATCTTTCTGATTCAGAAATAATACAAATGGTTAAACAGCACCAATTGCATCAGTGGATTCTCGGTTGATACAATCCTATGCCTAGCGTAGCTAGCTGTCAGTAAAACCGGTTGTCAAGGAGCTTAGCCCTAAATTCCTATTGTAATGAAGACGTAGGCGATTGAACCGATAAATACTATGTATTGCTTTCAACTTTAAATCCAAAACACCAGTATTCCTTGAACGAAATTATATTGTTTGGCAATTAAAGTGAAGACAACTACAAAGTCTACAAACAAATGTTAAGTACAACTGAAGTTATAAAGTACTTTTATTCGTATTTACTCCCGTCTTCATTCAACTTGCAAGCGATCGAACCATTCGCGCCTTCGAGTTGCCCACCAATGGCTGCCAGTTCCAATAAACAAACGTTCAATGTTCACGTCCATTGACACCGGTATAGAGGGAATGTTGCGTTGTGTAGCAAGCGAACCCATCCCAATGTTGTTACTGAAAACTCTAAGCTCAAATTTGAAGCCCCATGTTCCACTCGGTTTGTCAGCAATACACAATATCACATAAATTTTGGGTAATTCAACGCAACGGAGTTATTTAAGTGTTACAGTGCATACAATTCAATTCATAATCACTGATTGTAACAATCCAATAATATAAATTTGTCTTGTTGTCTGGAAACCGCTTCAACACTTAAAGTGTACAGTGCCCCAAATCTTTATCAACCTCATTCAACAGCTGACTATATGACAATATCACATGTCAGGACGATCCACGACGGAAAAGTCAGACAGTTGTTCGAAGTGCATACAGGAGTAAGACAAGACCACTGTCTGTTATCACCGATGATATTCTTAATTGTGGCGGACTGGACTATGCGGCACAACATGCGTGGGGAGCAAGGAAACAGCAATACGCTGGATCACCGACAATAAGACTCTAGAAGATTTGGATTTCGCGGATGGTTTATGTTTAATGTCACATAGACTCGAAGACTTGCAGGCGAAAACCAACAAACTATCAGAAGAGGTAGGCAGCGAAGACAACACTTCCGATGGACATAGTGAAGACGGAGGTGATGAAAATAACCAACCAGCAGCAACAAAAACCAGCACCAATCAGTGTCATCTGGAGGAATGGAAAAGACTCCACTTCCTTCGCTTATCTAGGAACCACGGGTTCAACCCCAAGGTTCATCAATCTGAAATCGGTTTTGAAATCCTCTGCACTCAGCATAAAGAACAACATAGGATTTGGATTTTCAACAGTAATATGTGACAGTCAGTTCTTCTTTATTGGTCAGAAATTTGGCGCATCACAAAAAGCATTTCTAACAGATTGCAGACTTTCATGAACAGCTGCCTTCACTGGCTCCATATTGAAGATCAAATGGCCAGCCGGCAGAGAGAATTAGCAACAAGAAACTCTTGCTGGGAACCAACTGACAGACGAGAGCTGATTGCTCAACAAATATGTAGGAAAAACTGGAGATGGATCGGGCATACGTTAAGGAAACTGTCGAATGAAATCGCGCGCCAGGCCACAGCCTGATTGGAATCCCATTGGGAAGCGACAAATAAGGCGTCGCTTCAAGGTTAACATGGTGGAGATCGTGTGAGGAGGAGGAGGAGGAGCTGAGAGATTATAGGCAATCGTGGACCAAGCTGAAGAGGATGGCAGAAAATAAAAGAAAATGGAGATGTGTTGTTGAATCCTTATGTTCCACTCGGAGCCCAAGGGAACAATAATAATAGTTTTATGTCTGTTGGACATCAATTCGAAGAGTCCTAACTACGTTGATACATTTCCAAGTGTGAGTTTTCAGAGATTTGATTGAACTTTAAGTTTTATCACGAATTGGCAGAAGTTAAAATTGATAGGTCATCATTGAATTCTGTCCAACTGACTGAATAGCGAACGAGTTTGCCTTGTATTCCAATGGTCCTTGTATTCTAATGATTCCCGGTGAGATCATGGGTGAGTACTACTGAAGAGTCCCAAACGGCGACGAAACAATTGTCAAGTACTCACTGGTTTCCAATGGTTCTCTAGCTGAAGTTAGTTCGTGATCACACTTAAATTGGTACGTTTGTGTTCTCTAGTCTGGATGGGTTGGTTTATTGGCTAAGGTTTCATGATTGTTTTTGTTTTTTACCAAGTGCTAACTTCAATATCATGGTAAGCTTGTAGAGTTCTCCATGAATTTAATTAACAACTCTGCTGATGAACTTGACAGTGGACGATTATCTGGTTAACTAGTGTAACTGTGATGGCCCTTTTTTTGATGACCTGTCAGTCAACCTTTCTGTTCGTGTGATTTAAATTTTAACTGGAAGATGTGCAAGTGAAAAGCAACAAGTTGGCAGAAGAAGCATCAAAGATAGGACTTCAGGTGAACATAGAGAAAACAGAGGTAGGTGATGAAGATTCCTGGCCAACAGCAATAACAACAGACAACAATCAGCATAAATGGGAGAAATCTGAAAGAAGCAACCTCCTTTACCTACCTACCTGGGAAGCATCGTTTCAACTACAGGCGGATGGAACTGATGAGGATATCAAAGCAAGGATCGGGAAAGCAAGGCAAGCTTCCATTACTCTCAAGTCTGTGTGGAGGTCAACAGCATTCAGCGTCAAAAATAAGATCCGGATTTTCAACCCCCATGTGAAGTCAGTGCTACTTTATGGATCAGAAACTTGGCCAGTGCGTCATGAAGAGCACCTCAAACAAACTACAAACCTTCATCAACAGCTCTCTTTGCTCAATACTCAAGAGCAGATGGCCAGAAGAGATTACCAACAGGGATCTCTGGCAATGCACAAACCAACCCAGCAGGAACTAATCGTGCAACAAATAAGCAAGAAGAAATGGAGGTGGATTGGCCGTACTCTGAGGAAACCATCAAGTGAAATCACTAGACAAGCCCTCGAGTGGAACCCGGCCGAATGGGAAGCGGTGAGTCGGTCGTCAGTGCGAGAGTGACATGAAGGAGGTCATGTGAAGAGGAAATGAAAGCATGTGGGCAGACTTGGAGCCAGGTGGAAATGTTGGCAGAGAATGGAACACAATGGAGATATGTGGCTGAAGCCCTATGTTCCCCTAGGAACTAAAGGAAACAATAATACATAATAATAATAGTCTAAACAATCAGTTCCAATAAGTTTGACTGCGCGTAGGTCACAGTGACATCATGGACTATTTGTCGCCATTCTTAGGAATGAAGTTCGGTTTTTATTCCTAAGTTATTATCATTACCGGAGGTATTTGACAAAGAAGCACTAAAGTTGCTGTTGCCTATCTTAGCATGAACACAAACTTGGTAACATTATGGGCACCAAGAGGTGCTCCAAACAAATGGACGCCCCGATCGAAGCGGATGGTTGGCTTAAGCGGCTCCCCAGGCCATTGACTTAAAGTTTGATTCATAAGGCAGTGGATTGGCGTCAGCAACTGCATCCTCGCGTCATTCGATCAGATCATGTACACCATATGTTTTAAATCAGGGTTTCTCAGCCCCTCCCCTAGGTAGACCTGTCTATCCACCAGTGCGGTTGTAAGTGCCAGTTGTGTTTATCACTGAATAATGAGATTAGGATGCTTGGTTTATTGATATTTGTAAAGCCTCCCTCCCCCCCCCCCCCCACACACACCATTTAGATTTGAACAACAATTTGGTTGTATTCATAAACCGCACTACTTACACATCACAGTCCGCAAAACTGTATTGGTTATTTATAAAGTCTCATGCTGATTCTTTGTTATTTATCTATAATGAATTATTCTTCTCTCTTTCTCTCTCTCTCAGGTGAAATGTGTTCTTGGTTGGTCGAACAGTGTCAATCTACAGCTGTATACTTCTAATCCTAAGAATTCGACTGATGTGACGAAGCGTCTTGTACATTTACCGTGTAATCAGTTACCTACTTTGCATGGGACTACTCTGTATGCTGCTCTATCTTAACTTTTGTGTGTACAAGTGAACTAGTATTATGATAAATATATATTTCTTTTTGTATGGATAATATGTACTCTATATAAAGTACATGGAAAAAAGAGTACTTTTTATTGTATCATTTTTCTGTACGCTTGTGTGTGTATGTGTTTGAATGGTTCGGTGACATTGAAATACCTGAACTGTACTATTTGAAATAGTGGGAAGAGCAGTAGTGTTGTGTTAGACCACCGCTTAAGGGGACTGTTTGTTGTTTTTTGTTTATTATTATTAATCCTTAGCTTTCCGAGTAAAAAAAATTGCGCTCCAGCAGGACATTTACATTTCATCTTCTTCTCTGAAGTCCTCTTTAGGAGTGGGCTGCACGATTGCCCATAGGTTTTCATTTTGGCTCTTCACGTGAAACCCCTCCACGTCAACTTTGGACTAACGTTTAAATCGTTGCTTCTCCCATTCGTGTTCCACTCGAGGGCCTGGAGCGCAATGTCACTCAGTAGTTTTCTCAGCGTCTGTGCTATCCGTTTCTATATTTTTCGTCAGGTAATGGATTCTTGTTTTTTTTCGTTGCCATAGTTCCTTGTACTGCAGTCATTCTCGCCATTTGATCTTCAGCTGTTGATGTTTGTGTGCATCAAACTGTGTTGGGGATGCTTTTCATAAGGCACCAAGTCTCTGAACCATATAGAAGCAGCGTTGGAAATCCGAATCTTGTTCTTTATCCTGAGAGCAGCAGTTTCCCACACTGATTTCAGAGTAGTGAATGTCTATCTTGCTTTCGCGATCCTGACTGTCTTTGATATCTTCATCATTACCTCCTGTAGTTGGAATGATGCTCCCTAAATAGGTAAAAGAAGTGACTTCTTTCTCCCATTATCGGTGATTGGTGGTTGTTGTTGTTGGTTTGTGAGTGTCTTCATTACTTTCGTCATCTTTATGTTCACTTGGAGTCCTGTCTTCGACGCCTGTCTCTTCTACCTACCAACTTGTCCATTTCTCTCTGTAGATCTCCGAGTTTATTTGACATTAGAGATACAGCATCCGCAAAGTCCATATTTTCTAGACTCCTCCTATCGGTCCAATGTATTCCTCTGTCTTCTAGCTCCTCATAGTCTCTCATATGATGCAGTCCACTACAATATGAAATATCATCGGTGATAGTGTTCAGCCTTGTCTTACCACTCTTCACTTCAAACAATAACTCATGTAAGTGTGAGCATCAAAATTAATCTAATCCTCATTATACAAATGCTTAACTGTCGTTTGTTTACTCAATCTCTATTTCATCATCCTGATACAATAGTGAGTTAGTCAATGTCACCTTGAAAGTTGTACATTGAAGACTGACCGATTGGTTTCAACATAGAAATTTACACCGGTGTGCAGCAGTTTGAATTGCCACACTTCACTTAGCACACAAAGCAACAGCAGAAAATAAAAAGAGACGCAAAATAGAGACAGTAAACAGAGATATAGGGCAAAAATGGTATTATCGAAGAGGAATATAGTTTTATTGGATATTAGAAGTGACAAGGAGTGGATCCATCTGTGCCAGCCATTGAGACCGATTTTGAGCCTTATTACCAATTGCCTCCAGCCGACATTGGTTTTTACCATCCCGAGGACTCCAACCAGCCAGTTAGGAAGACTACACCCCCTTAAATGTCTGTCTCAAAATAACTGCTTTGGATTCCATTGACTGATGAAGCCATGTTTTGGTTTGATTATCACTGGCTCTTTTCCAACCTGATCCTATGTCAGCTAGCATTGCCCATTATCGAGGGAGGTGATGGTTAGGCCTGAGTAACACATGTCTTAACCATCTCTCTCAGTCGATGTAACTTCGCAGCCTCGTCAATTGATTTCCCCTGTTTACGTAGCACTCGATGCCTAACCTCAATCTTGCTCACCCTATTATACCACTTCACATGGGAGATAAAACGCAGGCACCTATGATCAAAGACAGCTAGCTAGCTTTCACTGGCCATGTCTCGCTCACAGCCATAAAGAGAACGGAGAGAACTGCTGAGCAGTACACATGCCCTTTGATCGATAACCAGCCAGCTGTATATCACGTCTACGCCAGATATGGTGTTAACTGGCATATACGAAACGAGCCTTCTGTATCCGTGCTGAGATTTTGTCAGCGATCAACCTACTGGCGTTGGCTGATGCAATTTCCCAAATAAGTGAAGTAAATGGTCAACACGCTCCACCGACCACTTCACTCCCTATTTCTAAGCTAGAAGTCAATGTAATCCAGTTCAGTCCTGTAGCCTCATCATCGTACATTTGACAAAGGGAGCGAATCCCATGCCAAACATTCGCATACTGCAGCTCAAGGCGTTCGGAAGACTCTGGATTTTGTCAGCGTCTTTACCTAAAAGGACTATATTGCCTGCATATTTTAAGTCAACGAGATTATTCCCTGATGATGACAAGTCAATCATTGAGTCGCTGAATTCATTTAGGGTTAAGTCCATTAGTGTACATTGAAGAAGAAGTAGGGGTGGGCAAACGATCTCATTTGAAACTGTCATTATGAAATGCTCCTTCATGAAAAACTCATTTCTCAAAAAATTTATTGTGTAAGAATTACTTAACTTCTTCAGTTGTTATATGATTATGCATGACGCTACGCCCTCGCTGATTTTCTTCAATGCGATGGCAAAATATGTCAGTTTATTCGGCTAATATTCAATTGTGAAGTCTGTAAAGTTGATACTCATTCCTGCAGTATGGCGCTTATTAACTGAAATCCCACAGAAGTGATATATCTATTCTCCATAGCCAGAAAACATATAAAATAAAACTTAGTATAAAACTCGATCTCTGTCGACATCTAGCCGACAATTCTACTGACTGAAATGAAACGTTCATCTTAGCCTGCAAGGGTTAGCCAGAAAGGACATGAGTTCCTTCGAGGTAGTTGCAGATACACCTGGTTGACTGGTGAGCGCCAACTAGCACGAAACCTAGGTCAAGGAGGGCTTCCTGCCTATTACAGTGCATCGTGATGGTGAGCCACTTAGAATGCTGGCCATATTACAAACTTGACTGATAGAATTTAGTTTCCACCAAAGAAAGAACTAAACATATTACACTAGTAACTGACTAGCGTTCAATCAAAGGTTAGCCAGCGTCAACCAAATGAAATGATTCATGCCCTAAGGATTTCGGCTAATGCATACATAATATAGATTTGCTTCATTAACTATGTTTGAGTTCAAAGTAGGAAATAAACAGTTGTTTCAATGAAGAGTAAGCCACTGCATTGACGTAACGATACTTAAACACACTAAGCAACGACTGCTTTTGCCTCAAATGGCTGACTGACTGGTTTCAACATAGAACTTTGCACTGATGTGTAGCAGTTCCAGTTGCCACACTCCATGTGGCACACAAAGCAAGAGAAGAAAGTAAATGGAAATGCAAAGTAAGGACAGTAAACAGAGATATAAGGCAAAAAGAATAGTAATATTAAAGAACAATATAGTTTCATTAGATATTATAAGTCACAAGGAGTGGATACATCTGCACCAGTCATTGAGAACGATTTTGAGCCATATCACCAATTGTCTCCAGCCGTCATTGGTTTTTACCATCCTGAGAACCCCTACCAGGAAGTTTACATTTTCCTACGTGGCTTGCTTGCTTAAACTAACTGCTTTGGCGTCCATTGACTGGTACCATGTTATGGTTTGACCACCGTGTGCTAGCTCTTTTCTAACCTGATCCTATGTCAGCTAACATTGCCCGTTGTCGAGGAAGGCGATGTCTAGGTTAGGCATGCGTAACACGTGTTCTAACCATCTCTCTCAATCGATGTAACTTCACAGTCTCGTCGAATGATTTTCCCTCCTTAAATAGCACTCGACCGATGCCTGATCTCGATATTGCTCACTTCATTGTGCTACCTAACATAGGAGATAAAATGCAGACACCTATGGTCGAAGACAGCTAACCTTTTCATGTCCCCAACTTTCAACGGCCATATATCGCCTATAGCCATAAAGAGAACGGAGATAACTGCTGAGCGGTACAAACGACCATTTGTTAACAGCCAGCCAGCAGGATATGACGTCTATGGCAGATATGGTTTTTACTGGCAAATGCCAGACGAGCCTTCTGTATGAAAATAACCAACCAACAACAGCAACATCTAGCGCCAATCACCATCAACGGAAGGGATTTGAAAGAGGTTACTTCATCCACTTATCTAGGGAGCATTGTCTCAACTACAGGAGGAACAGACGAGGATGTGAAATCGAGAATCGGGAAGGCGAGAAACACATTCATCAACCTGAAACCAATCTGGAAATCTTCGTCACTGAACATCAACAACAAAATTCAGATTTTCAATACAAACGTCAAGTCAGTCAGTTCTTCTATACAGATCAGAAACTTGGTGGGTCACAAAGAATATTTCCAACAGCCTGTTGCAGACCCTTATCAACAACTGTCTTCGCTCTATACTGAAGATCAGATGGCCGGAAAGAATCACCAACAAGAAACTATGGGACAAACAAAACAAGAACCAATCGCCCAACAAATATGCAGGAGAAAGTGGAGATGGATTGGATACTCGCTGAGGAGGCCGTTGGGTGACATCGCGCGTCAGGCCATCGCTCGAGTGGAACCCGAAAGGGAAGCGGCGAGTGGGACGTCCAAGGGTGACATGGAGGAGATCGTGTGAAGAGGAGTTGAAACAGTATGGACTAACATGGATTTAGATGAAAAGTACAGCAGAAGACAGAAGCAAGTGGAGACGTGCAGTTGTAGCCCTATGTTCCACTAGGAATCCAAGGGAACAATAATAATAATAATAATAATAATAATAATAATACACGTTTCCATGACATGGTTTGCTATAGATGACCATAAGTCAGTTGAGTTAGGTGTGATTTCATTTCCTGCTGCTGTCACTTAAGGGTGTGCTCTGTAAGTCTAACTTGCATACATCGACGGAGTCAAGTGTTATTTACGCAGTACTCTCCTCTTCTGTCTCCTAAACTCTTATTGGTCACTTTTATCCCTAAATTAGTATTTTTAGCCCGTATGATTCAATTT